ATTTTGACAACTACCCATATAGCACCTACCAGCAGAGTTGCCAGAGTTAGTCATGGGTGAGCTGCGCCTGCGCGAGGTTTGCCGACAGCATAGCTTCTCCGGCCTTCGTGACTGCTGAAGCTACTGACCCTGGAAAGTGCACCCATGTCAGAGTTTTGCAAGGCTTTGGACCTTTCCCCATACTACCTGAACCTGAGACAAAGAAATTCCATGCTCTGCAAAGCGCTGCTTTGTGCCAGGAGGCATCTCTCCAGCATCTCTGGCCCCGCTCAGAAGCAACGACCTTGCCGAAGGACGAGAGTAGCAGTTACACCCATCGTGGTACCAGACTCCATCCGCGCCGACACCGTTTGTGGAATCGGAAGTCTTCGTATTCTGCCATGTGGAACGAGTTGGGAGCTTGAGGCCTGAGTTGATCGAGGTTCAGGAGTCTTGCCTGGAACCCGCTCCGTCCCCGACCAGATGTTGGACATCCCACTCCGTTCAGGAGTTCGTGTTCCTCCTCGACCGTTCTGGCTCCATGCAGGTTGGATGCATGATTTGCCGTTGGCGAGGGTATTTGCTAGCAATGCTGACGACATAAGCTTCCAAACCTTGAAACCCACTGGCACTCTTGCCGAGGGAGCGCAGATTCAGAAGGCAGCCGTCGCATTGCAGCTTTTCCTCAGGACGGAAAGGGAGCACCACAGAGAAATGAAGTCTGAACACTGCAGATCTGACGTCGCCTTTGAAATTCACCCTGCACGGAGAGTTGTGTCAAATTCACGTCTCTCAGAGCAGGAGTTTGCCCGTGGGATGTTACTTCGACATAGTGGGCTTCGGCTCCAGATGGTCGTCTGGGCTCCGAGATGCTTCGCGCCAGGGTTTCCAATTTTTAAGGTGTATAATATATATATATAATTTATATATAGCATATATAAAGATAGAGATATATATATAGCTATATATATATATAGAGACATATATATATATATAGATAGACTATAGGCCCTACGCCAGGCATGAGTCTCACCAACACTTCAGAGGCGCATCTAGGAGGCTCCAGACCTGACTCCTAGTGACAGGAGAATGTAGGGGCCTGAATAACTCTCTATACTATTTTTTGGGGGGAGGGTTCCTTATTATAATTGTAGTACAAGATACCCCAATAATTACCTATACTATTTTGGGGATTCCTTATCAGAATGATAGTATAGTATACCCCAAAACTCTGTTCCAATTATTGAGGCCCCTACATTAATGGACCACCCGAGCCTCCGCAGGGCGAGCGGACCTTCTCTCCCAGGTCTCTCTTCGGTGGCAGCCGGCCATACAATGCGGAGACGCTGCGTATTGTTCGCCGGCTGAATTTGCGTGTGCTGGGTTTAGTATGATGCTTCAGACGTGCTTCGTTGCAGAACAGACTATGGCACCGTGCGGAAGAGCTGTGTCTTCAAGCCTCATCCCTTCCTTAGGTTTGAACTCGGTAACTCCAGCCGAAAGGCATTCCAACATGCGAGCGATCCCTCGAACAAGAGCTCATCCATCCCCAAGTTCTGCTTCAAATCCAGGCGAGCGAGCACGTGCAGCATGTCAAAGCGGACCTGGGAGGCGCTGCAATTGACGGTTTAGGGTTTAGGGTTTAAGGTTTTAGGGTTTAGGGTTTAAGGTTTTAGGGTTTTAGGGTTTAGGGTTTAGGGTTCCGAGCAGAGAGAAGCTGAAGCCAGACAGCGCTCGAGTTTCTGCAGGGACCGAGCTGATGGGGCCTTTGACTGCTCTGCTCAGCCAGCCCCCACATGCTGGCTTCGAGCGCCGCCTCGTCCTGCCGCTGGACTTATATAAACAATACTTTAATGATACTGCAACAGTGCTCTTGGCTTTACGTAGCGGAGATTTGAATCGCCTATAGTCGTTCTCCGAAGGCGAGGAGCCGCCTTGGCTAGAGAAGACTCTGCCAAGCTAGCACCACAGCACAGGCTCACAGATGGTCAAGTATGCAACACAGCAGCTGTGCTGGAGTTCGTCCGCGACAACGCCACTTGCCCTTGGGTGATGCGGATTGTGTTCAGGTACAGGGAGGCTAGGCCTGGTCCAGCACTGCGATCTGCTTTTGGAACCGGGGACAGATGGAGAGAACGAGACAACCAACCGCACGTGCCCATGCACGAAGGTAGGCATGTGCATGCACTGCGCACACACGCACAAGCGCACGCGCGCGCACGCACACACACACACACACACGCACTCTGTGTGTGTGACAGACGCAGACAGACACGAATGCACACGCGGAGACCGAGCTTTTCTCTAGTCCTGTTCACGGATCAGGGATACTTCCTTTCGCCCGCCTGTCGAAAGGCGAAGGCGACCAACATCTACACAGCCACTTGGATTGCATGCAGCGTTCAAAAGCGATAATCCGGAGGGGAATGGGGGGGCATGCTAATACTAAGCAGGGTTTCTTTGGGCGATTCTTCGACGCAGCTGTTGTTTTCGGAAGCTCGCGAGGCCGAGAGAGGCTGGGGCCGCCATGGCTAAGAGCCTTAAACTAAGGACCGCCTTAACCCTATAACCCCCTAGGTACCTACTATATAGGGTACTATAGAGCCCCTGGGGCCTTATATAGTAGGTACCTGGAGGGTTAGGGTAATAATAAGACACTCTCGGAAACCAAAGCGGTATGGTTCTTTTCTCTGAGGTTGGGATTGGCAATGGCGTGTCGCACGAGCTTGTCGAAGGCACGTCATCTTGGCTCCATGAACATGAGGCCTCTCCGTCCAGTTCCCCCAACAGCCAATCAGAAAAAGGTAATCTCGCAAAACCTGGTAAGACGATAAATCTTTTCCTTCGCTCGCGCTCAGATTCCAAGACTGGGCTTGCACGCGAGAGCAACGCTCGTAAGCACATGAATTCACGAAGCCGATAGCTGAAGCCTGAACCTCCGAACCCTGAACCCGTGCTTTAGTCATGCGAGATTGACAATGTAGTAGGAGTGAGCAGCTTACGGCTTCGGGTTGAGCGATCACCATATTAAAATGCTGACGCTGGGTGTGCCTCCAATTATGCCTGCTCAATTCACGTTGCTTGCCGTTGGCTTCACAGCTTGTTTTAAGGCCATCTTTGCAGAGCACATGTTCTCCATGTTTGTTCTTCTACAAGCGCTTATTTGATGCCGTTGTGTGCAGTTTTTTATTTAAGCATGGACCTGTGTCATGCCGAGAAGACCACTTTGCAGGGGGTTCAAACTCCAAGTTGTTTAGGTTTGACCATCGTATTATATTCAAGTGCCCTTCAACATCGAGGTCTTCCAAGAAGTCCTCATGTAGGCCCTGAGGGCAATGGAGATTTTCCGTCCGAAATGCAGCGCGGCTGTCCGACACCAGGTCCGCCTGGAGGTCCTTTTTGGTTTGGTGCCAGCTTTGTGCACCCTTTCAGTGGTTCTCGCGGCTGTCGCCGGCGAGTTAAAGAATTCCAACTACACTGCCGTGTTGCTTCTTCACGCCGTCCTTTTGCTTGTAGTGATTGGCATCGGCTTGTGGATGAAGCTTAACAACTCTCTCCATTCCCTCGTTCACTATCTTGAAGACACGGGACGAAGCAACGACCTGTTGGTGGCATGTTCATGGGCGCAGCTGCTGCTGTACTTGGTCCCGATGCTCTTCATCGGGGATGCGAGCGGGCTGACAGACACATACATGACTGTCATTGGCTACTTCTTATTGTACGTGCCAGTGCTGGATACGCCATACTACTCGCTGGTCAGCTATGCTGCATACTCCGGTCTAGCTTGCATCAGAATCTTGGTCTTTGTGTTGACGTGTTTACATTCCGGAATATTGCCAGACCAGCTGTGTGAAAGCTCCTGTCTACCTGAAGTTTGTGGGCTTTTCTGCCATACTTGACTTAAATGCTTCGGAACAGATTTCCTAAGAGAGTCTTTCACGCTGCCAAGGAATCCTGCAGCTGAGACCCCTGGAAGGAGTTCCCGTGTCCAGGTTCTTCATGCGTACCGTGCTTCTTGGCATCCTCGGGAAGCTGGCACTGCGATTGAGGCTCTGGCATCTCAGCAAAAGTCGTACGGCTTTGACGCCACAGGCTCTACAGATTCTTGGGCCTGTACCTTTGAATTGAAATTTGTTCCGGATTATCTGACAGACTCCAAGCCCTGCAGTCGCGGAGCGACGTTTCTTAGGACTGCAGCTGCCGAGCCTGGGGCGTGTGGCGAGTTGAATATGGCTGCGAGCCGGGAGCCCTACAACCCTATGCATGCGAGCCTCCGACGTCGTCCTCTCCAAGTTTACCCTGTGTCGGACGGCTTCATGAACGGCAGAGCGGCTAGCATCCACCTCAACATCCTGAGGCCGAAGTCCAAAGTCAGACTTAGGATGCGGGGGCCTGCATGGGTAGCTGAATGAGAGACATGAAATCAAGACTTTAGGCGTCGGCAGAAGGACAAGGAGCTGCTGATTGGGCAATTTCTTTGGGCCGTTCACTTCTTCCGGGCGAATACTCTTGCTCCGGACAGCTTGGCGCACATCCTGTCTTTCGTGGACTGCGCGAGGCGAGCCAGCAAAACCATTCCATATGATGCGCCCATCTATCCATGCATCCATCCGTCCATCCATCCATGTCCATCTATCCATGCCAGCAAGCAAACATGCCCGCGCACATCCAGACATACGAAAACACCTACTGTACCTACCTACATACGTACATACATACAGCCAGACAGACAGAGACAGACAGACGGACACACAGACAGACAGGCAGAAACAGACAGACAGACAGACAGAGACAGACAGAGACAGAGACAGAGACAGAGACAGAGACAGAGACAGAGACAGAGACAGAGAGAGAGACAGAGACAGAGACAGAGACAGAGACAGAGACAGAGACAGAGACAGAGACAGAGACAGAGACAGAGA